GGATGAGTAATTCCATGACCGACTCTCACAGTTAATAGGCAAATCTCATGTATATAGGTTAAGAAAAGTTTTATAGATTTACAGTTATGTTGTACCCCCTCACGTGGTTATCAAGGGACAGCTGGAGTTGGGACACCTGGGAGGGCTGGCTTGTCACTGTGGGGACACCTATCTCCAATCAGGATTTGAGGAGGAGATCTCCACCACTGGACAGCAAAGAAGGGGCTGATGGACAGAACTTTGGGAGGGGTTAAAGGGTTAAAAAGGGAAAACCTCCATTGTGTGGGGGCTGAACACATGGCGGGGAAAATCTTTTGCTCCCAGCGCCGTGACCTTTATTCTTTATTCAGTCCCCTGTTTTATTTTTGATAAAGTTTAATAAACCTTCCTAAACCATGAAAAGTGAGTAGCTATTTCTCACACATTTGATGTCTCTGCCAGGTATTTCAGCATGGAAAGAACTGCAGGGCAGAGCAGTGCAAGGCCAGTCCTGCTCACCAAATCCAGCCCTGTCCCTCCAACACAGCTGCACCCCACACACCCTTCCAGAAACTGGGCAAGCTCTGCCACCAAGTCATAAAACTCTCCTTCCTGTAGACCTGCAGAGAGGCTGCTGGGTGTCCTCTGATGGTAACAAACTTCCTTAAATGCCCAGACTTTGATCCTGGTGCTGTTTGGTTCTCCTCTGTACACACTGCCAGCTTCAACTGCTTTTCCCTGTGGATTTCCCCCGCACTGCATCCTCTGCAGCCTTTCCTGTGCTGGAAAACTGTGGGAACCCAGGAAATTCCTCTGGCTGCCCTGGAGGACTCGAGCCCCTGCCCAGGGGGCTCAGAGACCTTGGCACAGAGACCAAGACCCCTGTGCCTTTGATTTAGCCCTTGGAAAAAACAATTATCAACCTTATATGAAGAATTGCAAGCCACAAAAGTTTAAGTAGAATGATAATGAATCTATCACGGGGTGAAAAATAGATTTTTGGGGGTTTTAGAATGGGGGTTCAGGGGGCAAGATGGAAGAATCTGGGGATGTCGACCCTTTCTCCTTCTTCTTCTTGGCCTCCATCTTCTGCTGTGATGGTGGCATTTTTGGATTGGTTTAGAGTAGAAGCTCAGTGTCTGACATAGGTGATAGGTATTGGAAAGTAACTGTAAACATTGTACAGGTAGTTTTTAGTATAAAAAGATAACCCTGCCCTGGGGTAGGCAGAGTGCGTCTGTCTGTCCTGCTGGATGGACCTCGGCTGGACAGGAGAGAAAATTTTATAGATAAGGAACAATAAACAACCTTGAGACCGAGAAATGAAGAGCTCTGACTCCTTCTTCGACCTCCAGGCTGAGAAAAGAGACTTTCCAACACATCTCAGGGTCACTGTGACCAGCGAGAGACCCGAGAGAAAACAAATTAAATAAACTTCTCCTCGTCAGAGCGAGGCAATATTTAGTGAGCACTGGGCTGTAGAATCACAGAATCATCAGGGTTGGAAGAGACCTTTAAAATTATCAAGTCCAATTGTCAAACCTCCTCAAATATGGGTAAATCCACAGCTAATGAATCACTCTCCTAAAAGAGAATAGATTTACATGGATCATCTCCTTCCAACCCACTACCAAGGGCAGGGACACCTTCCCAGGTTGGTCCAAGCCCTGTCCAGCCTGGCTTTGGACGCTTCCAGGGATGGAAGAAATTTCATCTGAAAAGAAACCAGGATTTGATGCATGTTCAGCCCCTGTGAGGAAGGGGTGGGTGTTTGAAGACAAAAAAATAAAGAGGGTTAAGGAAAGACATTGTTGTTTATCAGTGGAAATCCACCTGCTTAACCCGAGCCAGTGATCAACCTCAGCACCATCAAGTGCTCTTAACAAGTGACTAATCTGCCTGACACATCAAATTACAGCTGTGATTAAGCCCCTCTGATCAATACAATTGATAATGGCTCCTAAACAAAGCTTTCTTTCCAGAATGTACCAAGTCACTGTGTTTATTTCCACTCTTTTGATTAGAAAGGATAACAAAACACTCGTTCAACCTCAAGTGGTTCTCCTTTTCCAGAAAAGGTGTGGGAAGTGCAGAAGGCAACACAACCACCTGGCCATAAATCAAAGTTGAACACTGCAGATCACAGCGAGCTTCAATTTTCCATGCAATTTTCCAGGAAAAAACATGATTTTCACCCAGTTCCATCCCCCAGAACAGGAGGATGGAACTGGGTTAAAATCATATTTTTCCTCAGAGTTTTGCTAGGATTTCTCTTTCCAGCAACACTCAGATGAAACAGTCATCACCTTCATAGGATCTCATTTCATCACCTCCATGAGATTTCTCTCCAGCAAACTCCCCCCTTGCCCCCACCCATCAAAGTTCAAAGTTTGATTTAACAGCTCAGCCACATTTACTGAGTTATGGGGCCCCACTCCAGAAAAACACCTTGCTGTGAACACTCTGAAGGGGAAACACATCCCATGTAGGCACTTGGAAATTGTCTGCCCACACAGCACATAACAGAGTTCTCCACACACTCATCCACAGCACCCATTTAAAAGCCAACAATTCTTGTTTTTTTCTGTTGCCTCCAGGGCAGTTGTGAGTGTCTGGATAATAAATTCAGGTATTGAGCTTCTAAATACCTGCTGATGTTTTGGGGTAAATGGATGCCAAATGCTTTCCACAAAGGAAGGGACCTTAAAATCAGCTCCTTCCACCCCCCTTCAATGGGCAGGGACACCTTCCACTGTCCCAGGTTGTTCCAAGCCCCATCCAACCTGGCCTTGGACACTGCCAGGGATGGAGCAGTCACAGCTTCTCTGTGAGAGTAATGATGGATTTGTCTTTCCAAACAAGCTGTGGGTCTGCTGGTAGATAAAACCAGCACTGAGATACAAAAGAAACAATGGGAAGGATTCCACTGACTGAGGAATGGAAAAAAAGATATTTGCTTTTACAAATAAACTTCAAGTTTGCTCATAAACGAAGGTGGATGTTGAAAGATGAAAGAAACAATGGGGAAGAAAAACCCCTAAATTCCATAAGAATTAAAAATTAAAAGGGAAGGTTATACATTAGAGGGAAATCTTTGGTATCGGGGAGTCTGAACCTCTCAAGTACCTCAGAAATGGGGAAAGAGAGAAGGGAAATGCAGATGGGAAATTGGGATAAAAAGGGAGGCTGTGTCCTCCAAAGTTTGAGAGACCCCAGGGGATGCCCCATGGCCTCTCCCTTTATTTGAATAAAGACAAAAAAGACTCCACTGTCTCCTTTTTGGACATAAACCTCTGGAGTTTGTGAATTAATTTTCCTGATATCTGGAACCCTGTGTCAGGCCTCACCACCCTCCCAGGAAGGAATTCCTTCCTAATATCCAATCTAAACCTGCTCTCTTTGAGTTTGAAGCCATTCCCCATCGTTCTGTCATTCCACTTCCAGTACTGTACCCATGGACAAAACCATTTTCCTGTGCTTAAATCTGCAATTTCTGAATCAGTCCAGTTCATCAGTAGTGACTGGTGGAAGTGCAGATTTATCCCAGTCCAATATTTCAGCATTCCATCAGGGAATAAAAACCTCCAAAGGATTTCTATATACTTGCTTTGGGATTAATGACTTGCAACATGGTTGTGTGTCTTTACTTCAGAATGGGGAAAAATATTTTGAATGGTTTAATTCTGTTGTTACAGAAAAAGAAAAAAAAAAAAGAAGTAAAAAAAAAAAAAGAACTGTTTTGGATTATGCTTTCCAATGAGAAAAAATCATTTTGGAAAAGCAGAAAAAGTATCATCACTTCAACTATTTATTCTCCTTTTAATGTATTGCATTTAATTTAATTTCTTTAAATATCCATGAAAATGAAATTAAGCATTTAGCTGGCTTTCAGATGAAGGTTTTTATCCACCCTTGAGTTTTGCCTTTACTGGATTCCAGAGGAACATTTCTTCAAAAGACTCCATTTAAATGTACAAGGACACTTGAAACAGCTTCCAAATCAAAGACAACCATCCATTAGCAGATAAAAGCAGGGGCCAAAAGCCTTCCTGGCATCCAGGAAGCTCCTCCTGGGATCAGCTTGCTCCAGGATTCTGCTCCATCAGGGCAGTCCTTCACTCTGTGGCCTGGCTGCAAACATTGCCGGACTGTTGGAGACTTTCCTCTTCCACTTTTCCCTCTTTTGGGAGGAGGGATGCAAATCTCAAGCAGGATTTCAGATTCATCTTCCCAGCCAAATGATCCCCTTTTTTTTTTTTTTTTTTTGGATCCTGGCAGTCTCACTTGGGTTCCTACACTCCCTTTACTGACAGACATGGGGTTGGTAACTTGAGAGAGGCACTTGGAGGGGGAGAGATCCAAGAGATGCCTTAATTTGGGGTTCTGACAGCTCTGCTGCAGGACAGGGTGGGATGGGATGGGATGGGAGGGATGGGGCAGCACCAAAACCTTCCTCCTTTGCTGACCATTGAAGCCAGAAGAGGGTTAAGGAGACTGGAGACCCTTCCAGGGGGATTTCTCAGGGTGGTGAGTGCTCCATGAACAAGGAGAGGATCTCAGCTGCCTGTCCCAACTCCAGAAAAACTTCACAGCCTTGGAGCACCCTCTGCTCCACCATGAGGACAGGAGCAGTTTTGGCACAGGGAAGGGAGGGCAGCTCAATCAAAGGAGATGGTCCCAATGACTTCCCTTAGAGCGGTCTAAGACTTAGGAGAACTTCAGGCTTTCAGTTCAGTTCCCAAGGAAAAAATGGAAAAATTCTTGTTCAAGGAGACAACTGTGATTAAACCCACTGAAACACCCCAGTCAGGCATTCCCAGCCAGGAGGCTGCAAGGGAACCTGCAGAGCTGCTCGAACCCTTGGCTGACTTTGGAAACATCTATTTCTCTCCCTCCTGAAGAGCAGCTGGAGGAATCCTTGCTCCAGCAGCAGAAGGGCTGGGAAATGGCCAGGACAAGGCAGCTGTGAGGCTGAGGGAGCTGGGTTTGCTGGCCAGGGAGGCACAGAAGCGTTGCCATACCTGAGGTCTGGTTGTCCCAGGTCAGCTCTGCCAGGCACTGGCTGCGCTCCTCCTCGATCTCCTGCATGATGCTGCACTCTGGCCGCGTGCTGGACGCCTGCAGGGAGGGCACAGAAGGAGACAGTGAGCAAAGCCCACCCTCAGGGAGGCATTCCTGGGGATTCGTGGCCTTGTGGGGCAAGCTGGAGCTCTCCAGGACCATTGCACAGATCTGCACCCAGCCTTATTTTATGTTCACCCAAGAGGAGGGAGAACAACCCAGAGCTGCTGAAAAAAATCAGCATTTCTCTCCATTTCCTTAGGGAAAAAACCCCATAACCTATTTTTTTTCTGATTATCAGTGTGATAATTCGCTTGGGGAGAACTTTGGAAGGATTCAAGATGGGGCCTCTGAATTGTTTTTGATGATGCAGTTTATTTTCTTATCTTGTACATAGGCAGGAAGGGTGAGTTCAGCTCACATCTTCACTGCATGGCTCAGAAGGTCACAAAACCTCGAGTTACAAGACCTTTTAAGGAGTTATTGACCAATAAAACACTGCCAACAAGGATATTTATGTTTTTGACCCAATCCTTAAATATTTAGTCTTATGGACCCAAGCTACAGTGTAAGCTTTCTTAGCCAACCATGTTATGGCACACAAACCTACAGTGCTGCATTCTAAAATCCTTGTTTACATCTGTAACTACTTTTATTTTTTCTATATCTTAAACTCTAAAACTCTAAACTTTCCTTTACTTAGCTTAATGTGTCTCTGCTTTAAACTATAAACCCACATTCTTGCTTCTGTCATCTAAGTTTGGGAGCCTTTTCCAAGGCCTCAGATCAAATCCTGGGTTTAATCCTAAGCTTTGGTTTCCAGGCCCAAAGTTCTGAGAGTTCCTTGCATTTTGGATTCCAACAGATGAGGAGCAATTCTGCTGCTCTATGCTCTGGAAACCCTGCCTGGCTCACCAGCACCACCAGCTATGTAGGGCAGGGCAGATTTAATATTTATGCCAGGACCAGTGGGACCTGTGCTTTGTGGTTTATTCCCTGGCTCTCACACTAACTCAAAGCACAACAAACCCCAAATCAAATAAGAACAGAATCTCTGATGCAGATTGGGAGATCAAGGAGCTAAAAAGCAGGAAATATCCAGTGAGAAGGCTTTACCCCTTCAGGTGGTTTCTCCTCAGTCAGCCCTAATCAAGTTGTGTTTGTAATACAACAGTGGCCATAAGTGTTCAGGTAATTAATTGTGGACTCCTCACAACTTGAAATTCATGAACTGCCTCAATCATAAAACGTGGAAGTGGTGATTTTTAACTCAAAAAAAAGGAACTCACACATATCTCAGTGTCCCCTTGTCACCAACACACTCTCAGCTTTGACGGGACACCTTGGCCATTGCCATGGCCAGAAACTGAGGCTGCTCCCAACCCCAGCTCTTTTAAAGGGACTGCAAAGGGCATTCAACAGGGAGAAAAATGGATTTGGAGAAAAATGGAGCTGGATTTTCAGAAATCCAGCTGCAAAGAGGTGGAGAGAAGGGAATGATGTCAAGAGAGCCAAGCCTTGGCTTGAGTTCATACTGACCCTGTTAAATGTAATGTGGGAAAAAGCATCAGCAGGGTGAACTTCAGGAACAGATCATGAGGACAGGAGAAGTGATTGATTCAGAGAAGTGATTGATTCACTGCTCCCTCTTGAGGGTTTTGGGAAAACCATACATTGTCAGCAGAAATAGGCAGAGAAAATAAATTAAGAAAACAAAAATAATTTCCTGTCTCGTTTCAAAATGCGTTGAGTTATTGCTCTGTTGATATATTTGCCAGTCAAGGTTTTAAGACAAAAAAAGTCCAGCAATCCTTTGAAGGAACAATTGTTTGATGTAAATTTGGGTTTGGATTGCAAAATAATTTAACACAATAAATTAATCTCACCGTTTCCTATTAACCTATCCTGCTCTCTTCCCTGTTTCATGCCATGCTTGGTTTAGATTTTAATTTCCTTTAGGTTGGGAGTGGGCCTTGATTAGTAGTGTATAAACAAATAATTGTGGTTTTCTAGTCAAATTAAAAATAAATAAAAATACAAACACCAGAAGAAGGGGAATCATTTGGAGTTGTCTTCGTTCTCAAATATTTCTTTTCCCCAAAGGGAAACAGATCTTTGGAAATTTCATCTTGGCTCATCTGAAATACCATAGAGTTATTTTGTTTTGATTTACAGTTCTTCTTGCCATTTTATTTTAACCTTTAAAAAGCACGAGGGGAAGCATGAGAGATTTGCAGAACACTTGCTGGAAAAATAAAGATTGAAATGTTTTCAAAACATTCTGACTTTTTCAAGGGGAAGTTTTAACTCTCTGGACTTAAACATTTGCCAAATTCATCTCACATCTATAAATACCTCTGGTTTTCACTTTATAAATTAATTAATTCATACTACTCTAACTTTGATCAGGGCTGGCAAAGCACTCTGTAGTTCTACAGTAGATCTGAATTTTTTTAGGCTGTAAATTTTACAACAAGCCCATTAGCAAGTACTTCACTGCCACTTCTTCCCTTCACTAAAACCTTATGCCTGAGTTGGATAATTGTATATTCACCCCAATGTTCCAATATTTACTCCTGAGTAAGTGGTTTTATCACCTTTAAAAAACAAATGAGGCTCAGTTTTGAAAAGTGGGTTTGTGACAGGCTCAGGTAAATTTGATTATACATAGAATCTTTAAAATCTCATCATTTTTTTGCCATACAACCCAAAAGAAAATATATCTATGTTAGGCAAAACCCTGTAAAAAGCGTCCAGCAGCTAAATACCAAAATAGAGAAGATCTTGGATTTGTGGTGCTGGTGCTGACTCCTTGTGAGCTTTAAGGGCAAGAAGGTGCTCACAACAACCCCAAGCAAAACTGCAGGGCAGGGGCAGAGGGACTGGAGAAGGTCCTGGGGGTGCTGGTGACAGCAGCTGAACAGGAGCCCAGGTGTGCCCAGGTGGGCAGGAAGGGCACTGGCACTTGGACTGGATCAGGAGCTGGGTGTGGGGCAGGGATTGTCCCCTCTGCTGGGCACTGGTGAGGCCACACCGCCAACCCTGGGGTCAGTTCTGGGCTCCTCGTGACAAGAAGGGCATTGAGGGGCTGGAGAGTGTCCAGGGAAGGGAATGGAGCTGGGGAAGGGGATGGAGCACCAGGAGAGGCTGAGGGAGCTCAGTCTGGAGAAAAGGAGGCTCGGGGGGACCCTGTGGCTCTGCACAGCTCCTGACAGGAGGGCACAGCCAGATGTGGTTCTGCTCCCAAGTAACAGGACAAGAGGGAATGGCCTCAATTATCAGCAGGGGATGTTTAGCTTGGATATTAGGGAAAATTTCTTCACTGAAAGGGTTAACCCTGGCACAGCTGCTCAGGGCAGTGTTGAGTCACCATCCTCTGGAGATACTTGAAAGCCATGTAGATGTGGCCCCTGGGGACATGTGGTGGCCTTGGCAGTGCTGGGCTAATGACTGCTCTTGATGATTCTGGAGATCGTTCCCAAACTTAATGATTTTATGATCCCATAAAGAAAAGAGTGGGATGTATCTCAGCTTCTCTGTCAGTGGGACACATCATCCTCACTTTTAACTGAGTCAGAGCTCTGGGCTTAGTCTGACCTGATTTTTTTTTTTTTTTTACCATTCCTCCAAGTCCACAGAGAGCAAGCAAACACCAGCTCTGAAGGCTTTCATCCCATTCCACTGCCTGTGGTTGGATGGCTTCAAACTTAAACAGCCAGCACTCAGCTGGAAAAGGTCAGTGATGTGTGAATTTAATGTCCACAGACCTTTAACTCAATCAAGGTCAACAAACAGATTCACACTGGAGGACCTGAAGCTTATGGCTCATTTTGCACATTAACTAAAGAAGTAAATAAATAACTCCATCACTCCTCCTTCCTCCTCCTCAGTGATAACAGCAATAACCCTCACGTGTCACAGCAGTCACTGATACAGGTTGACAAAGGCAGATGGAATAAAAATAAAACAAAAATATCACAGTTTTGACATCATTAGGAAACAGAAAGTGTGGGGTTTTTTTGCTTGGGGGTCATCAGGGAACAAGTTCAGCTGCCTTCATTCCCCCCCAGGTGACAAAATGCTCATGTGGTTGGAAAGAGCCCTGAAGAGGTGTCAGACCTGCCCAGCAAAGGGGATATTCCTTGGAGGAGAGGCTAAATAATGATCTTTCTTTGGTCTATTCCTCCTGGAAAAGTTGAATTAGACTTTATAGACAGCTTTGTACAAACTCACTTTACTAATTCTCCATTTCCAGGCTGTTTTTCACTAGGTTGTGTTGTTCTGTTTGGGTTTTTTTCCCTATGGAAAAGGCAAAGATTTTGGGCTTTGGCCTCTTTCACTGCAGTGGGCAGCTGGTCACACAGACAAAGGGCTGGGGAGCACATGAGTTCACTTTTCCCATCCAAAAAGTAAATATAAAGCAAAAAGCACAACAAGCTCTGGTTAGCTCACGTTAACATCAGAGGCTGAGTTGGAATCCAGTTTCTTGGGAATATCCATTATGGGTGAAGCTGAAATGTGGTAACCACCCCTCACAAATCCCTCCTGGCATGCCTCAAACACCCTGTAAAGGTGAGGTGGGTTTGTCAGGGGTTTTCCCACTCTGATCCATGAGCAGAAAGATGAAGGGATTGTTTTTCTGGATGTGATTTCTTGCAGCCCTGAGCTCTGCAGCAACTCTCACACAACAAGGAGTTGTAACCAAAGTCTTTATTAATGAGAGTTTTCCTTCCCAACAGATCCCAGGAATTGTTAGAGGATTACTGTGCAGTCTGCTGCTGCAAATAAAGCCTTTGTGTACACTCCTTAATTAAATACAATTCCAAAGATTGCCAAGACTGGAGGAGTTGCAGCAATGTTTTGTCTCATCTGCAGGGCCAGAATATCCAGGGGACATGTGGCAGCTCCTCAGAGACAGGTGGGAGCCACAGGAGAAGGGCTGTGAGCCTCAGTGTGCCCCTTTCTCCTGGTCCCAGCTGTGGGAAATGCATTTGTGGGGAATTCTCCAAGCCTGACAGAAGGCTCACACTGTGTGTGCATCTGTGTGCAAA